TGTGGACAGCCTGCGGCTGAATAGCAGGGGCAAACCTGCTACAGTGAAGTGTGCTCCAAGTGGTCAAGCTCAGCTTCCAGATAGTTTATCACAAGCAGGCACAGGCAGCAGCAACATAATGAGCCGAAGAGGTGTTAGCACCAGCCAGAATGCTGACACAGTTTTGGGCCCTGAGACTGAGGCTGCGTGGCCGGGGGGCTGCCGCAGCCGATACCTTGAAGCAGACCGTCTTGATGGCATCCGGCGCAACGGTCGTACCAAAACCACTAGGCCGGAGGTCAAGGAGCAGCCCAACTTAGCTAGAACAGAGACGGGCAGTCCAGATGAAGAAGCTCGTCGCAGTGATGGCTTTGCAAATCCGTCCCCCTCACCCACAGGCAACACCAAACAGGATACTCAGACTCTTCCTAGCCTGGACGCTGAAGCACAGCCGCATCGGATGACACGACCAGCGTTGGGAAGAAAGCAGGAACCACGGTTGACGTTTGGGAGCAGTGATGGGGTTCAGGCTTGTGGCAAGAAGTATGCGAATCAGCTGGAGAGCTTTTGGGGAGCCTTGGTGCAAGCAGATCACAGGTGGATTGGGGCTGATGCCGGACATAGGATCCAAATTGTCGATTGCAGCTTGGGCCTGGAAGGAGAACTTGGTGTGGACGGATTCATCAAAGAGGTGTATGGCCGGCTTGACGCGGTTTTGTCTCAAAGGGACGGATGGGAGACTCGCTTCAGAGAATTGGAAGCATTTGTCGAGGAGAACGGAAGGCTTCCTCGACGGCGGCGAGCTGCTAGTGATGATGATGAGATAGTGCTGTCCAATTGGTTGCGCACACAGGGCTCGCGCGTCACCTCGCAGCAAATGCCAGCCCACCGACTTCAAAGACTTCTGAATGCAAGATCCGATCTTGTCCGCAGGCGTGCTGAAGGGTGGATGGCCGGTGGCCTTGTTGGCCGCTTCCAGCGGAAGTGCCGAGAGCTGAAGGAGTACATAGAGATGAATGGCAAACTTCCAACCAAGACGCAAACAAAGCGCAAGTCTTCGAGCTACCAGCTGGCGAAGTGGTTGCAGAATGTTCGAACGAGTGGAGCTCATGTCATACCTAAGAGGAGGAAGATGCTGGAGGAAGTGCATCCTTTAGTGAAAGAGCTCCTCCAGAAACGGGACAACAGCCCTTTCAAAATCAACAGGGTAAAGTGGGAAAGGCAGTTGGAGAAAGTCCTCCACATCGTGGAGAAGCACAGGCGGCTCCCGAAAATGAAGACTGAGAGAACGGAGTACAAGTGGCTCTGGATGCAGCTCCGACGACTCGACACTCTGCCGCCTGAGTTGGCAAAGCGACTTCGTGGCTCTCATCCACTCGTCGCAGAAGCTGCCAGGAGGTCGGAACAGAAGGCGAAGGGTACAAAAGCCAAGTAATGCGTAAAAAGAGTTGTTGCCATTCTGAGGGGCCCTGGCTGTTGTTTGCCACGTTGTGGTGTGAATCTCTCTGTGCCATGGTGTGTTTGTGGTCCCCTTGTCTGAAGAATGCTCGAACATCTCAGCCAAGGCTTTGATGTCATAAGTTTCCAAGGGTGAGTGATACTGCATCCGAAGCCCCGGCGGCAAGCCCAGAACCGGACACCCTAACCTAAACATCCTGCACGCAGGCGGGTTTCTTCCATTTACAGTAGCCACCCACGAGACCAGGGCCGGAGAGATATGATACCATAGGCTTCCCCGCAGAAGGGAGACCATCGAAATGGAATTCGTGTGGAGTCGGAGACAATCTAAAACAATACAGCTGGTGGTTTTGCGTGGGCTTATGGTGGCACTTGGATATGAGAAGGGTGGACTGTCTTGCTGGACCGAAATGCCATCCCGTAAAACATATACAGACCATTACGGACGCATCCCATGACTTTTTTGTGGCGGAACCGGTGCTCCTTTCAAGGGAAGCCCAGCTGGCGCTGCTCCACTCAGGCCATCCTCCACGGCGGAACTGCTTCGACCGTGGCCAGCCACTGAGCTGGTCCAGCCGCTACCTTAGAGGGAGCCATTTGGGAGAGAGAAGGGGGGAGGGAGGGAGGGAGGGAGGGAGAGAGAGAGAGAGAGAAACACAGCACGCTGACCTGATAAGAGATGGACAAACAGGACACCATTTTCACGCAGAGAGCGAGCCTGCTTTCTGCAACTTGAGCGATCATTGATTTGTGTGACAGGAAGTTTTGTTGCTCAAATTCTTCAGCATGGGATCCAATTTATCTACAGTGCATTCGTGAGTGTCGTAGGTCGGTGTAGGCCAACTGTTCCATCTTTTGTAGCCACTGGCCCAAGCGCAGAGTGCTGCCGCCGAGCCTTCGGGAGTTCTCACAACTCCTGTGGGGGCGGATTGAGAAGCACCTCGTTGATGAGCCCTGATGGCACAGCGAAGGCGGGGACGCCGTGGCAGCCGGCTTCTCCTCGGCCTGGTCGGCGTCTTGGGCGCGATGCGGCTGATGGCTGAGAGGATGGAGGTCGGCTTCGCGGGTTGGAGGATGGATCGGATGGGTCCTCATCCGCCACAGAGGGTGAGAAGGACTGAAGCTTCGAAAACTGGACACTATTAGAATTAGAGCTGGCCGTTTGCGAACAAGAACTTCCAACTTGCCAACTGGTTTGTGTCTTATCCTAATGTCATAGGGAATAGTGTTTCGATTGTCGGTTCGATCTCGAGTTACAAGTTGAGCCGTCAGAGGACGGGCAGTTGGCGGGTGCCACACGCTTTGGCAGCAAAGACTGTTGAAGTGAGAGCCTCGCAAGCATTTGGTGAAGTAGGCTCCAAATGGGAGGTTAGACACTCTGCTCGCGCTCCTGTCAATTAATTGCCCTACTCGATTCAAACCCAACAGCACCTCGTCTTGAAGACAATGCTTTCCCAGCACGGAGCATCCTCGTTGTTTTGTGTCGCACCGCACTTCATAACCCAGGACTAAGTATATCCAAAGTACAGTTTGAACATCATTTTGCTCGTTTGTCTCAAGTTACATGGACCTTTCAAGAAGATAGATCCCCATTCCTCTACGCAAGGCTCAGAGGAGCGAGACGCGGCCTTCATGGAGCGCTTGCGCTGCCTGGCGCGGGAGGCGCTCAGCTGGGCTTGGCTCACTCCGCAGCAACGGCTGGTGTGGGCCGCGGCCATCGAGCTGGATGCCGTGCCTTTGCAGGAGCATTTTGGCACCGGTGACACGGGGTTGGCCTTGGAAGATCAAAGGATCCTTGAAGACTTGAAGATTTCAAGAGATGATGTATAAGGATTGTTAGGGTTAAGTCTACCAGATCTCCTTTTGCATTCTGCCTTTAGCAGTGAAGGCGGTTTGGTTGGAAGCGTCTTCTCGTTCGGCGCCTGGCAAGGAGCTTCCACCGTGGTTTTGGGAGCGACAAAACATCACTCTCAGGCATCCAGGCAGGGATGCTGAAGTCGAAGGCAAGTAAGCATTCGAGCCATGATAGGGCTGTTAGGACTCAACAGCATTTTCCCTCAATAAGTCTGCCGATTTTCGAACAAACGTAGAGCAAAGACCACGCGACCAACTTTCAACCCCTGTTCAGCTGCCCTGTTCAAATCCGACGGGCACTCCGTCGGATTCTCCTAGTCTGAAAGGTAGCTCAAACCTTCTTCTTCATGAGTTGTTTTCTGCTTTAACTATATCCATATACCATCGGCCCTCGCGACCATGAAAAAGAAAGGTTTTTTGTGGCGACCTATTTTTTTAAGGTTGTCGAAAGGAAAACCCGGTTTCCAGTTTTGACATCCATGTGTGTTCTGGTGTGTTCTTCAGAACCTTGACTTGAACCCCTCCCAGTGTCCCACCGCAGCCATTTCTCGACAGCTCTTGCATCACTGCTCATTTGTCAACTGGCCAGGACCTTAATTGACCTGGATCTGCGTGTAGCCAACTGCATGCACATTGCACATCTAGATGTCTCATGATGTCGCACATACTTAAGAAATCTTAAGAACATGCATGTGTTCTGCATGTGTGCATGGTGGGGGTGTCATTTGTCATACTGTGGATCTATGTTAGCACATCGATGATCACCTGGAGCTTGCAGATCCTTTCGACGTTGGTAAAGGATGTGACATGTTTTCATCATCTCCCAACGCCGCCCTTATCGCTAAAAAACTTCGTTGCAAAACTCTGAGAGGGACTGTCTTGGGGCTGACCCTCCGGCTAATCCGGGAGGGCCGCCCCACATAGTCCTCTTGCAGCTGGCAACCGTACATCAATAAATTTGGGCACCATCGAGATCTCTCGCTTTGATGCAACAGGTCCAAGACCTGATGGTGGAGGTAATGTCCTTTAGGAATCAAAGCGAAGCGTTTTTGACCACGATCAAAGGCCATCTTTGCAAGCTTGGCGTATCCATGCAGGAACTTCAGGCCTCGAAGGGCAATGCCACGAGCCACTGGAGCCCGAATAAACAAGCCTTCATGGTACAAGGCAGTGAGCCAAGAGTTCGCATCGCTTGTCGCTTCAGCCTGAAGTTCACACACTCGATCGAGATCCCATATCAAATTAAGAAACATATGCAAGTACTCACCTACTTTTTCACCTAGCTATAGAAATTATAGCAAATTGCACATGCACGCATGTACTATCAGTCCCTCGTAAAAATAGAAAAATCTTTTAAACGGGTCCATGGCAACACACATCAAGTACAATGGGTCCTCAGTGTGCCCAACAACTTTCCTGGAGCAGTAGTCTTCAAACCACTGGCAGATGAGCCGAGTGAAGTCGCCCTTACTCCATCCAGCATCCGGCCAATCTTGGAAAGAAGCTTCAACCCCAAAGAACTGCGATGTAAGCTTCTTGTGATACGGTGATTGCTTGTTCATTTGGCAATAGGACCCAAAATCTTCTGTCAGCACTTTGAATGCAGCATCAAGACTCAACGGGTTGAGGAGTTCCAAGACACAACATACAGCCGACGTGATGAAGGTCTTTCCAAGCCCTAAGTGCCAGTTGTGGAACACATCCCATCGAAAGAAGACCGACATGTCAGTACCGTCGAATGGAATCTTCAAGAGAGGGGAAGGAGCAGCTCTCGAATATGCAGGAACGGATCCCACCGTCGAGAGCCACTGCGGCCTCTCTCTCCCAAAATCCTCGAACGGAATCCCCAACTCCTCATTGCCAGCCATGCACTGGTGGCAAAGACCTGTTGCAGGTTTCTTGGAGCTAGGCCTTGTGGGTCTCCGAGTGAACGAGCGGTTGAAGCGGCCTGCCTTTGCCAAGAACGGAGCATCCCCCTTGACACCCAAGCAGCACATGAAGAACTTGCGGCCTCCGAGCTGCAACCCGTCTTCAAACAGATCTTTCAGCTCCCCAGCCACCAATTCAAGCATGTGGTAGAATGCGCCATCGTTGTCCTTGTAAAGACTCACTGGCATGATGAAGCTTGGAAAATGAGACTTGATTGTCGAGCCGAGCATATTCAGCTGTAGCGCCTTATCTTCCAAGTTGTCATCATCATCATGTGGCCTGTGCTCATTCGAAGGCCGAGATCCACTTCCCAGGCACCCGTGCAGTGATACTACCATAACTTGCTTTTTCTTCAAGGATCTTCCTTCGTCCCCGTGAAGGAGACATGGAAACGTCTTCTTCAAGTCTATCAAGCCACGTGCCTCACGCTCAAAGATAACGTGTTCCGGATGAACGCTTCGATACCTTTGCCAAAACATGTGTAAAATTGGCTCCAACTCCTGAAGATCTTGCACCCCTGTAAGTTGGTCCAAGCAATCGAACTCCACCAAGTATCGCAGCCAAGAACCAAATTTGATGTAAGGATAGTTTGCTTGAGTCGGGAGGTCAGTTCTACTAATGGCAATGTTCAAAGCCTGTCCAAATTCACGGAAGACCCTGTGAGCACCATTCTCACTCTTCTTCAGGTTGACCTTTGCTAAAGCTTGCATGCCTGTGCTAGCATTCCTCGTCACTCGTGCCTGCCGTATAGCGTCACGGCAGGTGACCTCAGCAGTACAACATATAATGATGATTGCATGCATTCTTACAGTCAGAAGACCTTTCCATGATTTTCCATGCCTCATACATACACAGACATGCATGCAATTGATATAGTACACATGCACGCATGCACACTGCACATTGTTGACAGTATCTTTTTATATAACACAGCTCCGGAATGCAAAGCAACATGCACAAGAAAGCGGTTCATCTTTTGGCACTTTGCTGATGCATGTGCACTTGCAAATTGCATGTTGAATTATGTGAGGCATCATATATAATCAGCCAATTGGTTTCTTTTGGTCAGCACGGGCACCAACAATATATACAAAGTGAAGTGGTTCTTTCACAGTGTGGGGAGGACCTTCACCCCCATATCGCTGATTGCGACACCCCCGTTCCGAAATGTTAAATGCAATCAGGCTGGCCTCAAGCATTTGAGCAATCCCCAAATTGTCTGTCACATGAAGCAAACTCATGCATGAATAATTTGCTTCTTTGTAATACTGAAAGCGGGTGACAGGGGCAGCCGTGAGGCCGATCTTGAACACACACAATTGGCGGTTCATTCTGTTGCGAAACGATTCTACCTGGGATAAGCACCTTTGCAGGATGGTGCCTGCTGTTGCCTTTTCTCTCAGGCGGAACGCTAAGTAAGAGACACAGATACCATTTTGGATGAACATGTTCTCTTGCTCTAGCAAGCCTTGTGGAATACCACCAGGTGTGGCAGATGTCACAGGGCTTCTATCAATACGATGTTGGCCACAAACAGGATAATCCAAGGTCACCTGGGCTTTGCTTAAGGTCGTTCATCCAAGGAAGAGGCAAGCGTTTTGTATGTGGAAACGTTTGCTTTGGATTTGAGGGGGAACTGTAAAACAATCAAACAGGCCTGGACACAGTTCGCTGGTCCTTCTCCTTTCCACCCTCTGTCACGGAACAACGTGAACCTTCGCTGTTGATGCTCTCGGCTACCAATACCTTCCTAAGCGCAACAAAACATGCGTGCGTGCACTCACAAACAAAAACCGCAACATATATATATATATATGCATATACTGGTGAAATATTGGCACAAGTGTTCTTGCAGTTGAGCATCTTTTCAGGAGCACGGTTTTTGTTGAAGGGTGGGCAACGAGTTTTTCCAGTGATGGAGCATTCGTATGTCAGCAAATCTCGGAGTTCTTCTTCGACTACAAAGCTGCTACTTTTCCTTTTCAGACCCATCGATGGGCCACCTCACATGCATGGCCTATACCAGTGACAAGCAAAACTGCTGCGGAGTGTTGTGATCTTCAATAGAGGCATCCTCGATCTTATGTACAACAAGCACATGCGCGCAATGAAATTTATATATATCATTATGTTTAATTGTATATCCACGCGTTCTTAAGTGCATAACTGTCGCTTGAATCATAAAGGCATGTCCCAGGAATCTGGGGACCAAACGCCGTTTCCGACCATTCGAGCAAGTCCATCGAGCTCAGGTTCATAACCTGGCATGGATGGCTTGGGCAGCTGTGCTTCATGAAGGTTGGAAGAGTGGTGGAAAATGGGGGGTTGGTGGTTGGAGACTCATCCAAGACCTTGTTTCACCTTTCTCATCCACAAGCGTCTCAGAAAGCATTCAAGATTTGCTACATGTGTAGCAACTGCTATATGAGCCCAAACAATTGCCCTGACCTTGCCAAATCTACCGCAAATTGATTGCAAATAATGGGTGTGTTGATTGGCAGGTTTACTGCACCGAACACATCCACAAAATCCCCAATTACCATGCATCGCATGGTATAGATAACCATTTGTACTTCCTGCACTTGAGGAAGCCCACTGAAGTATCAGACCATCACTGCTTCTCGGCTGCCGCTTCTTCCTTCTTCTTCTTCTTGATGGATTTCTCCAGTGCCCTTGGATGAAACACCCATGAGAAGATACCAAAGTTTGAGCTCACCACAACTTGCATCACAAATTCCCTCGCGCCCAGCAAATTCCAGTCGTTTCCTGGTGCGGGCCAGGCACTTTGCCTGGGCTTCGACAGATGCCAATGCCGCTGCCCTGTGGTGAAATTGGCGGATGGGGGATTCCCGGAAACCAAGGAACCAATGGATCAAGATAAATGAGAGCGACGTCCTTTTGGCCAAGCAAATGTTTCTTAAGTGCTAATCTAGCGTCTTTCCCATAGCATCGCGCATCTTTGTTTTAATGTGCTTCGAGTTCCTGAGTCGTTATCAAGCTGCAGAGGTTGTAATATCAGTGGTGTTCTCCCAACAATGGATATATAT